TGGATGTATCAACTATTTAGCATTTAGTTAGCTAACTGTCTATTCTAAACTCTGAATGCATATGGGCCATACAGATTCTAAAAAGTAGTCGCAAACAAATCATGTCTATGATTACCTGGGACAGATGAACAAACAATCGGAAAGCTTCACAACTTCTATGATGCTTAGACTTGTTAGAGGAAAACTCTGGTTCCTATAGATTGCAAAAATAGTGATATCAGAATGGATTGATCTTGTGTTTTGACAAGAAGACAATTAATTGTGAGTCAATAAGGCAATTCTGCTTTGCAAATGATAAGAAGATAACCATATGACTGCATGTGACTTTATTGGGTTAATACAAAGTTTCTAGATAAAGAAAAAAAATAAATGGCCAAATTGAAAATTTTCAAAGGAGAACCAAATAAAATATATAGAAAATAAAATAAAATAAGCCAAAAAAATCAGATAACTTTTCAAATAATCCTGACCATTCTCATGTACGAATAATCAATTTACATCAATTAAACACAGAGTTTACAACAAAACATAAATAATAAAATATAGTCTAATAAGATGTAATATGTACCTATTAAAGAAACAAATCTGCATATACATATACACACATTGGCGGAGCTACATGCAGGCCAAAGTCGGCCATGGCTCCTCCTTGAAAATTCCATTAAGTAGCTATTAAATTGATGATTAAAATTAATAACAAATATGCATATTAAGTAAGAAATTAGTACTGATGGCCCCCTCTTGTTTCACCATCAAGCTCCGCCATTGATACACATCTATGGTAGGGCCTAGTGGGTACTAATTCAACTAGCACAAAGGCCGAGGTGGGCAGATGTGGCCGGTTCTGTGCTGCTCAGCCTGCCTATTCTATTATACTCCCTCCTGCTGGGAAAGGAAGTCGTTTTAAGGGTTAAGATGATTTGCACAAATCAAGTCGTTTTGGCTCTGTTAACACTCTTTTGGACGCGTTTGCCCCGGCTCCTTGTTCCCTGTGCTTCATTAATCGCGATGCTCGCCTCGCTTCGTTAATCGCGGCACCGCCGCCGCAGTCAGTGACTCAGTGCGTCGCTCGATCGCTCGTCTCCCCTTCCTGCTTCCGTGCCTTCTTTGCTCGCTCGCGCTATGGAGTCCACGGAGATATTTCGTCGCCCATGGCTGGTGCCACCGCCGCCTCAAGCGCTACCCGTACGCTGGCTCTGCTGGCGTGCTGGTGTGGTGACGACCGTGAAGTAGTAGATGAAAAAGGAAGATGCCAAGACAGAACACTGGAACACATCGGTAAAGTTGAGAGCAGAAATCACGCATCAGGCAAAATCACGAACGGTCGCAAAAAAAAAGAGGCAAAATCACGCATGAGGCAAAATCACGAACGGTCGCAAAAAAAATGAGGCAAAATCACGAACGGCAAAAACCAGAGCGCCCAACTGTACAGTGCCATGCACATGCAAAATCACGCATCAAGTAGGCAAAAATTGGGCCAAACATGGCTCGAACCTTGCTACTCCAGTCTCAGGGCACAGTGCACTAACCAATCCATCTACCAACGATTGTTGTACGCGAAATACTCTTAGCCCTATTTAATAAGGGCAAATAGAGAAAAATACACCCTAATTAACCACTTCTTGTTATGCTAAATGCTGTCCTAAACGACTTTCTTTATCAGTATGGAGGGAGTACGTACTATTCCCTCCGTTCCAATATATAAGGTGTAACTACTTTTTATTCATGTCCCCTAATTAGTTAATGTTTGGACAATAATTCACAAATACAAACGAAACGCTACGATAATACATTAATTATTTGGCCCCTCCCAAATCCGGGAACTAAGCAAAGCCCGGGGTGCTGTGACTGTGCTGCTGAGCCAGCCTCCTACCGCACGGGTACTAGCCAGCTACGGCCCTGCGGCGTAGGAGAACGCAAATCGAAACGTACTAGAGAGATCGGACAGTAGATAATGGTCCGGTTCGTTGGGCTGAAATTGGCGGAAAAATACTGTTTCAGCTGAATTATTGTGAGAGAAAAATACTATTCCGATTGAAAAAAGAAGCCGAACAAGCCATTTTTAAGACAAGCGAACGGGGCCAATAAGGGGTGGCAGAGAGTAAAGTCCAGAGATATTACGACAGGTATTGGGGTGTCATATCGGAGTGTTCGATAGTAATAATAAAACAAATTATGGAAGTCATCGGTAATCCGCGAGACGACTTTATTAAGCCTAATTAATCTATTATTAGCACATGTTTATTGTAGCATCACATTATCAAATCATGGATTAGTTAGGCTTAAAAAATTCGTCTTGCAAATTAGTCGCAATCTGTACAATTAATTATTTTTTAGTCTATATTTAATACTCTATGGATATATCTAAACATTCGATGTGATAGAAAGTAAGCTCTGGAGAAAGGAATTAAATAAGGCCTAAATGGAGTGAGACGACCTCAGGAATCACTCGGGTGATAAATAGATTTAGCGAAAAGCTAACGGAGCGGGCGGCGTAGTAAAGACTCCGCCGATGAAATGAGGCGTCGCTAGCCTGCGCTACTGAGAAAACCGGGAAAGAAGCTAATACGAGGGAGACTTGTAGAAAAACGCGAAACGCTCATGCGACGGAGACTTAGGAACGTCTGCTGTATTAACTAACAAGCACAAAAATACCGACAATGGTGATGGGAGCAGCAAGCAGCAAGCACCAAGCAGCGCCGCCGCACGACACGAAACGGAAAGTTAAACCCCTTCCCGTCTTTCCCTCCAGACGCTGAAGATGACGAGGCAGCGCGCGGCTGCCAGGTAAAGCGATGGGCGACAGAGGGGGAGCTAGCGCTGGCGCACGAGAGAAAATAAACAGCGTAGGGTTGGGTAGGGGGTGGCGAGAGGGATCGGAGCGGCGGGTACGCACGCACCTAGCAGCCGAGGGAGGATCCGATGAGACGCATGAGATAGCCGATGACGTCCTGGCGGCGGGGCTTCGCCTCCTGGGTGGGGTGGACGCGCAGCTGCACCACGCGCGGTCGGCGGCCACCGCGGCGCGCACCCGCTGAAGGTAGCAGGGGCCCGACGCAACCGGCTGGGTTCGTCAGCGGCAGTTGCGACCTGGCTGGCAACTGGGCTCGTCAGCGGGCAGCCATGGATCATATGAGGAAGGGAGCAGGCGCTGCGATCTCTTGAGGGCACAGCAAGACAGCCAGACAGCGAAGGCGATGACGGCAGGCGACGACGATGGCGACGCGCTATACGAAGCACAGCCGGTGTGCGAGGGAGGGTGCGAGGGCGGCGGCCGATGCGAGGGGGAGGCCAATTCTCTATTTCCTTTTGTGTTGGGGGCGGCTGGGCGGGAGTGCGAGACCGGGGGCAGGTGCCACGATCAACGTGCTGCGCGGCGTTGTTTCCTACTGGGCGATCACGGGATTGCGCTGAGATCAACGTGCTGCGGCGGATCAATGTGGGCGATCGCGGGAAGGGTGGTCCCACCTGGCGGCGCGTGCTCTCTCGTGATTGCGTCGCGGGGTCGCAAGGGGAAAGCGCGGTGAAACCGGGCGAGCGGGCGGGGGTCGCAGGGGTCAGTCCGACGAGGTGCGGCGATGATTTTTGTCGTAGGATGCTGGTGTTTTAGGCTTTTTAGTTGCGAGAGATGAGAGATATATAATAAAACAAACCAGTGAATCTTGGATGGCTGGGCCTATGATTGGGTTGTCCACAAATGAGTGGCCGACGAATGAAATTGACGATACAAGTAGGCTGGCCCATGAAAAACAAGTGGCCTACCAAAAATACTATGAGTGGCCCACGAAAAAGAAAGTGCCGGTTGTAACGAAGTTGTATGGTGTACATAAATACTAATAGTATTTTTCCTTTTAGTAAAGAATTTCGTAGGTGTCTCGGACTCATGACCCATGCTCATACGAATTAGGACAACTCGCATCTAGCGATGATAAATATGTAGTTCGATGGATCGTGCCCTACGACTCATACGAGTTAGGACAACTCCCGTCTAGCGATGATAAATATGGTGTCCGATTCTAATATGTATTAGATTGTGCCCTACTATCTCGTATGTGACTCGTACTCATGACAACTCGCATTTAGTGATGACAGAAGTCTGGTTCCTATACGGATTGAGTTCCATTGCAACGCAAGGGAGTACGCAATGTGATTTACTAGTGTACCCTGGGCCCTTTTTTTATTGGGCTTTCGTGGCATCTTTGCAAAAACTGATCTGGCCGGTTTGCTTATCTGATGAAACCAGTCTGGACCAGTCGTCCAACCGTTGTCCAAATCAGCCTGGGCTGATTTTTCAAGGATCTTTAAATTTTGTCCAATTCAAATAAATTTAATCTTTGATAATATTTTGGCTGCCAACAACTTGTAAATCTTTTACTAAAATAATACTGTAATTCAAGAAAATTAATATCATGCAATGAAACTGATGCTAATAATCCTGTATTCTCAGCTAGATTCGCTCCTCACAAGAGATTGTCGACCCCCTTGCCCAGCAAGTATATCCATGACCAAATTAACATGAAGTGGGGCGACAAAATAACACGGGAAATTCAACAAAATCGTTCCCGTGAATCCTTTGCTCTTAATTATGCACACGATCATCGCATAACCTATATCTGAATATTTAAGGAGATCCTTATCTGAAATTTCGTTCATTTATCTAAAACGTTTTGGTAAATCCTCATTTGAAACTTGTTTCCCTTTGAAAATTTTACGGAAAGTCGAAACCCTTATCTAAGTAGTATATCTGATCTGCCACGTGGATGCTTATCACGTCCATGATCAAGTCCCACCAGGTCACAGGGGCCCACCTGCAGCCTCACGTGTCCCCGCTCCTAAACACCCGCGGCGCGGTCGCCGTGGAACTTGGAACAGCTGTTTCGAGTTCACAAGAGTAGTTCAGAGTTCAGACTCGTCGCGCTCGCCCGCTGTCTCTCGCGCTGCTTGTCGATCCATCGCCGGCTCGACTCCTGATCTCGCAGGCGGAGGAGCGCGCCGGCGCGATGGCTCCGGATCCGGATTTGGCCGGCGGCGAGCAGGCGGAGCCGCCTGACGACGAGGTGGACGACCCCGACGTCGACGAGGTCGACCCCACCGGCCGCTACTTCCGGGTACGTGCTGTGCCGTCCATCCGCCGTCTCTTCGCGTCTCCTGCTAATGTCGACATGTTGTTTAGTCTCGTCGGGTTGCCGGGTTGGTTCATCGCCTTTTAGCGCGGGGGGGGGGCTTTCAGTTCCTGAATTTCGAATCTTGATTGCATCCTGCGCTGCTGCGAATTCGTCTGAAAAATAGATCTTTCTGCCTGATCTCTGCGGTTTCGTGCGTGCATTGCAGTACAAGGAGGTCTTGGGATCAGGGGCCTTCAAGACAGTGTACCTCCCTTCCCTCTCCTCAGCTGTTTATGCAGTAATTCAGTAGCAAATTAAATGACAGTAACTAGTTTCCTGAAATTCACACTGGATATTCGATAAATCACAAAGATTCAGCCTTGAATGCCAGCTTATTTTTGTTTAAAAAAATTGAAGAAAAGTGGGAATTCTTGCTTGTGTTTGTTGATTCACGTGATCGATTTGGTGGCAGCTACAAAGGCTTCGACATGGTGGAAGGCATCGAGGTGGCATGGGCTAAAGTGGAGATAAACGGTCGGACCATGGGATCCCCCAAGGAGCTGCAGCGGCTCAAGACGGAGATCCAGCTGCTGCGGTCGCTCCAGCACAAGCACATCCTCATGCTCTACGCCTCGTGGGTCGACAACAAGAAAAGGACCGTCAATCTCATCACTGAGCTGTTCACGTCCGGCAACTTGAGAGAGTATGTAATTAATATAACGTAAACCCTCCATGTATGTGCTGCTACTGATGGAGTTTGATTGACTTTATTCTTTGTGCCTAGTACCTTCTTTTGTGGCATGGTGAATGTTCAGTTATTTACCAATTGCAAATAAAACCTGAATAACTATTTCTTTTTCAAATTTTAAATCTGAATAATTTCTTGGTAGTTTTTAGTTTTCACTTTTCAGGTAACTAAAAGAAATACAAAGCTGGTTCGTTTGGCCTTCCACTCAGAAGGGAAACAGCTGTACAGAAGTACTCCCTCCATCCCAAATTGTAAGACGTTTGACTTTTTTAGCCCCAAGTTTGACCACTTGTCTTATTCAAAAAATTTGTGCAAATATAGTCAAATTTAAGTCATTCTTGAAGAATTTTTATTAATAAACCAAACCACGACGAAAGAAGTGATATTTTACACAAATTTTTGAATAAGACGAGTGATCAAACTTGGTGTCAAAAAAGTCAAACGTCTTACAATTTGGGATGGATTGAGTAGCTAGCTTCACCATCCTCTTTAATGATCTATGTTATGTTGTGGTTAGGTACCGTACTAAGCACAAGAAAGTTGATATGAAGGCAATGAGGCGATGGGCCAAACAGATACTGACAGGGCTAGCCTATCTGCACAACCAGAAGCCACCAATCATACACAGGGACTTGAAGTGTGACAACATTTTCATCAATGGGAACCATGGGAAAGTTAAGATTGGGGACTTCGGTTTGGCAATGGTCATGCAGCAGAGGAAAACACAGAGTATACAAGGTACGGTTTTCTACAGGCCACGCTGCCACATATTTCTGGAGCAAACGTGATCTGTGGTGAGCTGAATATTGTTATCAGTAACATTTAACATGAAACACAGGCACCCTAGAATTCATGGCACCAGAGCTCTTTGGCGAAAACTACAATGAGTTGGTGGATATATACTCTTTTGGCATGTGTATGCTTGAAATGGTGACTGGTGAGTGCCCTTACAGTGAATGTCAGGGCTTTGTTCAGATATACAAAAGATTTCTGAAGTAAGTGACGTGTGACTAAGATAGTACTTGTCTACTTCAAGAGTTCGCTAGGAAATACCCAGATACTTCCTTTTTGTTGTATATGAATGATGCTAATGGTACAATTGCAGGGTGCAAAACCAGTTGCTCTCTCAAGGTTAAAGATGCAGAAGTAAGAAGTTTCATAGAGAGCTGCCTAGCTTCAGCAGCTGATAGATTGCCAGCAAGTGATCTCTTGAAGAGCCCTTTTCTCATGAAAGATGACATCATCATCAATGATAAAAAACCTCTAATCCTGTGCAAGAACCAATAGCATTCCCGCCAAATTTGGATCTGGATCTTGAAGCCACACCAATTTTTGTATCTTTGCTACCAAATGGAACTGTTGATAGCGGGAAGGGGTCTTTCAGCCTAGTGCTTCGAAGGGGTGGATTTGTATTGGAAGGAGATATGAGTGGTAGCAACCCTGTCAAGTTATTACTAAGGATTCCTGTCCCCAATGGTAATTACATGCATCAAAATATCATCTTTGGATTGCACAAATCTCCATTTGTACCATGCCACTGACGCTGTGTTTTATTCTTCTGGCCTTGTACAGGTAAATGTAAGAACACCGAGTTCGCATTTGACCTGGAGAATGATACAAGTCTTTCGGTGGCTACAGAGATGGTGCAAGAGCTTGAACTACCTTCTTGGAGCATGCCTGTTGTGGCGAAGCTGGTAGATGCGTTCTTGCTCAAAACTGTTCGTGGTTGGAGGCCGTGTGTTCAGGTCGGTCAGATGATCCAGGCAGTGCAAAACACTGCATCCGCGAATGGAAAATGCATCTGAACCAATGTTTGTAGCTGATGCATTATTCTGCCCCTTGTGTAAATATGTCATGCTCGAATGCAACGCCAGGCGTTGCTGACTAAGCACATCTTCTTTTATCTGATGGCGGCGAAAGTTTGGGCATGATTACTAATTAGAATAGTGGCATATTTCGTATTATTTTTGGTTCTTATTGATAGAAAGAGGCTCAAGGTAAGAGAATTTAAGAATCCTGTAACAGTGATCCTTGCTTTACTCAGTTTTTTAAATGCCTTATTATGACTCGGTTGCGATGTGTTGTAGAGCCGGTAACAAGTCATAATAGTTTATTTATCAATCATAAAAAAGGTAACATTATTAAACCAGGTATAATGACACTTGCAATTTATTTTTGAATTATATTAATACTTTGTTGATGTAACATTATTAGCATATATGACATATCAATACCAAATGATTTATTTTTCAGCTCTATGTTTTTACAAAACTATAGTTCTTCATAAATAATTCTTCAATATAGCGAGTAAATTCAAAATCTCAAGTGTTGGTGCAAACTTAAATTATTATTTATGCCAGTTGTAAACAGTCTTGTAACTCGCGATATCGTCGAGTTTACATCTATCAATGAAAGGCCATGAGGGCCAGGTTGAGATAAAAAAAAAAGCAAGGATGGAGGGTAATGGAGGTGAAACTGGGCCTCCCTCAGTTTGATAAAATTTAAAGGCCCATAGACCTCTTGCTTTTGGGCCAAGCTTCTGGGCTCCCTCATGCTATGGTTTTGACGTTGAAACAATCGATTTTGCTCTGTCTTTGCTACTAGCCCACGCTCCACTGTTATATGACAGTATAGTAACTACTCATTTTGTTTCAAATTATACTCAATATATGTACAGAAATATATAAAAGTTTTTTTAGACAAAATAAGAAGCATGACAAAAAGCCACCTTACCCCTCACTAATTGGATGGTTGGGCTAGTTCAGTTGTTACTTTCTTTCAGTATTTTGTGTCAAAAAACTGAGGAGAGAGGGAGTTGAGTACACAATACATTTTATTTTGGTACAAATTTTAAACTCTATATCCCTTATATTTCAAGATCGAGGGTAGTTCACTGATTTTGTCCAAAGCTAAAGCTATCTAGTTTGGACCAAGTTTCAATATGATAACATCTACAAGTTTCAAGAAATGCACATCCAAATATGTTTCATAGAAAATTTAATGAAACAAATTTGATGGTGTAGATGTTATTATATATTTGCCCTGGATTCACAATCAATGTTGCTCATATGAGTTAGAACCCTGCAGGCTTCAAAAAAAAGTTAGAACCCTGCGTGTTTGTGCATACAACAATGGCACGAAGTTTGATTCTAATACATGAATCTCGAGCCACAAGTCATTTAAATAATAGTGCAACAAGTTGTTCATTTTATTGCAATGCGCAGACTTTGCTAGTATATATTGGGTCCAAATATGTTTAGCCTTATGTTTCTGGACTTTTTCGTCATCACAAGTTTTGAAAAGAATACTCAACACAGATGATGGAGCGGGCATGTTTGATTCAGATTTTTGTTGGCTTCTACCAATCAGAAACTGAAACAAACAAGTAAACAACCCAACCGTTGAGCTGATTTTTGAAAAGCTAAACAACTGGGTTTTAAAGAAATGAACTTAAAGATGAAAACATATTGAGACCACCCCAACGCGACACGGTGTGTTGCTATCCCAGCCTCCATGTCCGCATCAAGCTTCCACGTCACACCAAATGGTGGCCTCATAGGGTATCAGAGAGACCCACAAAAGTAGTGGGAGCTGCTTCGTCTGACAAAAAGTAGAGGGAGTATTTGGAGCACGCGTTGGGGCAAGAGGAACTCTAGCATGACCATGCTCTTTGGAGCACAGCTCGTCAAGCACGTGACAAGAATAAGACAGTGGCCATGAATCATAAATTGAGCATCATGGTGCGGCCCATGTGGATGAAAGGGGACTGAGCTCCAACCATGGGCGAGTGCAAAAGGAGAAAATCAAGGCGAGTTTCTCCAATTTTGGCCACAAAGAAAGCAAAGGAGGTGAATTTTGTGATGCCAAAAGACTGACTAAAGGGCGTGGCAGTTGATTTAGAGTACCAAGTTGCTAGTTTATTTGGATTTGGTAGAAGATTTGAAAGTGAAAGGATAAAACTTCATAGGTGGTAGTGCAGAGATGAAGACAATGGCATGGACTTGTGGCCCTAGCTATAATATAGATTGGAAAAAGTATAAAGTGATCCTCATATAATATTATTTGAATAGCTTGCATTGAAAAACTATTTCTTTTTATAACTCATAACTTATCTATCTATATGTCACACTTTTTTTTTTGTTAAAACGTGAAACCACAACAAAACATTAGCTTCGCTAGTGTTAGTTGAAGAGAATTGTTTTTAGCTTTTAATGTACTTAGAGCATCTCCAACATGACTACCTAAAATAGGCTCCTTACATAGTTTTTATTCTATTTTCTCACAAAATTCAGCAAGTTGACCCTCAATGATGTTCATTTTACCTCCACAGTTAAACAGAAAACAAAATTTAAACTAATATAGACTTAACATATTATTATTATAACACATTTTCATAGATTTAAATTTTAAAATTTGAGGATAAGATTTTGGGCAGTCAACAAATCTAGGAGACCAAGTAAATAGGTAGACTTTTTTTCTTCAATGCTTAAATATATATTAAGATTCACCTATAAAGTAGAGGATTTACAAAAAGAAATACTCTTAGAGCCTGTTTGAATCTGATAAACTAAAAATAATGTCCAGAAAGTGTCTCATTTTATTATTAGATTATTTTTAATTTTTCTTATTTCCTAAGAGATAAATAGGAACCTTTAAAAATAATTATTAGTAACCAAATCTAGAAAACCTTTACGGAGACGCAGACGCCAGAATCAGGCTTCCCCGCGACGGCCGCCGGGTGTCCCAACCGTTACTCGTGGCGTCGCCACGCGTGGTGCGTGAACCGCGCATGCTGCCAACGTGTCGCGCCGAAGCTGCCGACTTCAATCCCTTCGAGAAAAAAGTTGCTGCCTAGCTCAGCGGACCCGAGGCCCGAGGCCAACAAAGCCCAAAGCGCGCGCGCGCACACACACTACAGCCGCCTCCCGTTTCTGCCCTCCCCTCTCGAAGCCGAGGCTCACGCGCTATCGCTCGCAGCGGCGGCGGCGGCGGCGGCGCTCACTCTGCAATCTGGTGGAGGCTGAAGCCATGGGGAAGAAGAGCGCATGGTTTCAGCAGCGCGCGCCGAATCCCTTCTCGCCTTGCTGTTGAGGCCCTCCGGAGGGCGGATCTCGGCATCGGCGACCACAGCGCCGAGGAGGAGGAGCTTCTCACGGCACCGCGACTCTGCGAGATGGTACGGGTCCTCACTCGCGCTCCAGCTCCCATCCTCTTCATTCGTGTGGCGCGTTTATTTCGGGATTCTCTTCGTTATTTGGTTGGCTAATTTCTTCGGAAGAGAGTGTTAAAGTCGCGGGTTGAGCCGACCAACTCTGTGTGAGGGCAAGGTGTTCGAGATTATGCGGATTACATTTGCTCTGCCTCTAGTAGGACACAAATTGTATGTCTGTTCAGGAGGGAAGGGGAATCGAATCGGATGGAGTCGCGTTATGTTAGCCCTACCCTGTTCTTGTGCAGAATTCGTGCATTTGGGCATGGGCTGGTAGCCTGGTACTATTTTGAGAAGGGGCAGGGGCAGGGGCAGGGGCGAGGGCGGGCTCATGCTCGAGGAAGCCTTCAGATTCAGATAGAAGCCGGTGAGGGGAGAGGAGTCCGACGCTCTCCTGGTTTTGCATAAAAATAGTCAAATATCTTGTCATCCAGAAACACGCTCCAGTGGTCTGTGGACCGAAACCATAGTTTCGTTCCAAGATTCAATACTGATTTCCAAATGGGACCTCATAGTTGTGACTGAGCTAGGAACTGCTATGACTGCCGTGTCTCCTAAGCCTTTCCATTGTCAATGGACAAGGAGATCGGAGCTCGAGGAGATTGTGGCAATTTCCTACACTCTGAAGCATCAGGTGGGTGCTTGGAGCCCTGGATAAATATACAGTACAGAAACGTGCAACACTATTGAGATTTTTTTTTGTGGTGTTGGATTTTGTGTATCAACTACAGTTCATATTGGGAGAATCGTGAGAAATCCTGCTGGCAAGCACCTTGCCAGGATGCAAGCACACTTTGATATGCGCTTACTTAGGCCATGAAGGCTTGTTGTTTTAAAAATTGGGAGGTTTTGTAAATTAACCAAATTTGCATGTTTGCACTTTTATGTAGGACATCGTTTGTGAAGTGTGTGGTGTTGTTGGCTACGGGCAGCTTTTAGTACAATGTAGCAACTGCAAGAACGCTGCGAGGCACCTGTAACTTCTCTTTCTACTTGTTCTTCAAAGTCTTCATGTCTTCTATTTTCAAATTAAAGTTCCTAAGTAAAAGAACAAAACAAATGCATGAGTTTTGATTATCTTGTCGTAATGAAGTTTGGAATTGCTTGGATGCATGATTTATTAACATTTTATAGAGAATTATTTGCTTCAATTCTGTCCTTGTTAATCACATCCATAAGATTATCTTTGCATACTGGACTGCTTGTTTATTTGTCATTATGGTGTTCAAAAGCCCCAAATGTTTTTTAGGATTCTCATTTGAGTCCTTGAACTAATAAAAGTGACCATCTAGGTCTTTAATCAATTGCTAATTCTCATTTGGGTCCACGAACTAAAAAAAGTGACCATCTAAGTCCTCAATCTCTGTTGCGCTCGACTAAAGGTCCAAAACCCGCCATGCCACTGACAATTGCCTATGTGGACACGCCAGTTAAGGTTGCAAAAAAAAAAAAAAAACATCCCCCTACCCCTCCATCTCTCTCCCCTAGCAGCCCTTGCCAATCTTGCAGCCCACCTCTCTTTGTTTGTTCCATGGGCGCTGAGCATGTGCCTCCGGAGCACAGGAGAGCGTGCGGGTGTAGCTGCGAGGCCGGTACGCACGGGACCAACGGGAGGTAGAGGGAGTGTACATGGAAGAGAGGGGGATGGAGGGTTCTTCTGCAAGTGGAATGCGTATGTGGGACGTGGATCAACAATTTTAAGTTCCCGGGTGTGTAGGGCATATGTCTCTATGATTTGGTGTGCTTTGGGACATCATCCCGACTCACATCCCAAACATTGACCCGTCGTTGTGCCACGCCGTCCTAGAACCACGATTCGGAATGACCGTTCCCGGGACATGGAACCCCACTAAGACCCACGATCTGTGTGACTGTGACTGGCAGAACCATTAGGCATACAAAGGTGATGTGGTGGGATTTGGACCTCTTCTCGGGCGCATCATTAGTTACCTAAATGGTCACTTTTTTAGTTGGACTCATGTGAGAATCTACAGTAGATTGAGGACCTACATGGTCACTTTAGTTCTATGACCTAATTGAGAGTCCATAAAAAGTTCTAAGGACTCATGGTGCATTTTACTTTTTTTTACATTCCACTTTCTTAAGAGCCATGCAGTCTAGTCTCATTGTAATTAGGGCTTGTTTGGCGAAGCTCTAGGTCTAATACTTTTTGTAGTTACTCATTCCTAACTATAGAAATTCTTGGAGCTGGAGCTGCGGGCTGACTTAGTATTGAGTTGAGCCATTCGTTTTCTCATTTTTAGATTAAACACATAGGTCTAAAGCCCTTCAATTTATCATAGATTCTAAATTTAGCATGGACCTCAAACCTGGAGCTTCGTGAAACAACACCTTTTAGTAAGTAGTAAAATCCCAACTCCAAAAAAAGTCTATTTGTGTAGCACCCCACACCCAAAACCATTTTACATCCTAACCAATGTTCAAAAAGGTGACATTAGGCGTCCACCTAGGCGTGACTAGGCACTAGGCGAGGGGGTCCGGCCTGGCCTAGGGGGTAGGCGGACCCCCTAGGCGACTCCAGCTCGTCGGCAGCGCCGGTGGGGGAGGAGCGTCTGGCGGAGGTCGTCGGTGGGGGAGTAGCTTCGGACGCATGCGGGCGCGGGCGGCCCTGGCGGGCATGCACTAGAGGAGAGAGAGAGAGAGAGATGCCGAAGAGGGAGAGGAACCGGCGGCGGCAGTTGATGCAGGAGATGAGGAAGGGTGTTGAGTGTGGCCGCGACGAGGAAGGGCGTCGAGTGCGGCTAGAACTGGAGAGATGGATAAGGTTGGAGACTTAAAGTGGGAGATGGCTGGACTCTTGCCTCTTGGGCCTTTCTATCTATCTAAGCCCACTATTCAGTTGTTTATTTTTTCTTTTAGAAAGATAATATATGTATATTAGTATATATACAAAACGCCTAGGCTCGCTTAGGCTCGCCTAGGCTGTAGGCTATGGGTCATCGCCTAGAAATCGCCTTAGTGCCTTTTTGAACATTGATCCTAACCCCCACAATGTCACAACCATAACATCTTTCTTACACTTAAAAAACTCGACCTTCAGGGGTTAAGACAATCCCCAACACTGCATTAAGAAGAAGACCTTGTCACGCAGGCCTAGAAGTTCCCCGAACCCCTGCTCTACCCATACATAGCGGCACCGTAGCCCATGTTAGAACGACCATGACTAGGTCCAGACCTTAGACCTCTGCTTTGGCGTGAGACAGACGAGGGGATTTTTTTAACCCCAGCCTGAAAATTCGCTCCCACGGGAGTTGAACATAGGACCTGAGGAGTGCTACTCAAGGCACTTAACCAACTCAACTAGAGACCCTCTCGCCTTTCTCACACTTTCATCCTTGATTTGCACCAATTTACCTAGGTGCTATGTCAGGAACTTAAAGGCTTAAGGAATCAGATCTACCTAATTATTAAGGTAGGTGCAACCCCAAACACACATGCGCTTGGGCCACAAAGCCAAAATGTAGGTTGTGATATTACCAATTCGAACCCTTTCTCATGAACTAAGAAGAGTAGGATGTCATGACTCCCTACCACTTGCCTTGGTGCACCACCCCACGACCAGTGGCATCCTACCACCCTATCCACCACAAAGCTAACCTCCCTTTGGTCACTAGACAAGGCATCCCTAGCCACAATAGTTTCATGTGATCTTGACATGCCATCATTCTTATCATGTTGTGTTGATTAGGCAGGGGTCCCTAAAGGATGGGCTACGCCTAATGCACTAGATCTGCCTCTAGCGTCAAGGACCTTCACTGCTGCGTCGCCCGTTTCTTCAACATACGGTGTTGACCTTCCTCGGGATCGTGGGTGAGAGTAGGGGAGGGTTGAGGCCAGCAGCCCCTAACACTAGATTGCTCTTGATCTTGATGTCTCCAACACCTTTCCATTGTTTCGAACATGTCTTGGCCTTGACCATGCCCATTGAACTTTTTATGCCATGAAAGCAAACAAGGGACTTCAAAAGAGCCTTTGCCACCTAAACACTCACCCTTCCAAAAAATTCGCTTAAACAATCAAGTTGGTAGGGTTAATTGTAGTTAATTATTCCTCATATTACCTGTATACTTCTATGACCTCGAGCCATAGAAGATCTATCCCTAACTAGCGTTGTTTGTGGTTTTTGTAGATATTGTTTGGATCCGGTAATTTATGATGCCTCATCATTTGAATGGTTGTGTGATGATTGCCCCCCAAAACATAATGAAGTCCCGAAATCATTAGAGTGGAATTGTGATCATAGTCACAAAGTTCCTCGGTGGAAGGGGTCAAGGAACGTGATCGAGGAACACAACAGGCTATTTGAGGAAGGTTTTAACAAGGCAGGGGTGAGAATGTTCTCGCGCCCCCAGAACATGAATGATGTTCTCGAAACGAGGAGCGTTACATGGTTCCATGTTCCCGATGACTCTAGCTGTGATGACCACTACTCTATTCAATTGGGTTCTATAATTAATGAACCAAATGTGAATAGAGTAGAGGTGACAAAGGAACCCTTGTCGTGGGGGTGTCGTAGACATAGGTCGCACAAGGCAAGGTATAGTACATGGGGGTGTCGTAGACGTAGATCGCATAAAGCAAGAAGAGATAGTTCTGATGCCTCCACTAAACATTTTCCGAGTGCAGATACATTCAATTCTTCTGAAATGTTTGTCGTGAAAAAGTTTAAGCGCAATGATGTTTTAGAGGAAGGGGAAAGTACAAATGACCACTTATTTTATCAACCAGAAAGTGCTGATGGTTCAAGTCATTCAGCTTCTGACCTTACTGTAGAAATACAAAAGACAGCGGGTGCTGTTGGACCTACTATGAACACAATGGAGTGTCTGGACCTCTCAATGGAAAAAGATAGCTGCTCTTTTTCACTGAATTGTGTTGAAGGGTTCCCTCAAGGAACAAAACCTGACTTACTTCCTTTAATCAATGATGTTGAGAGATCCTATCCATGTGTTACGGATAGTTCTTGCCCTACAGTACCAAATATGGAGCAAAAAGATGGTGTATTGGAAAATGCGGAACAACCTCATCCTTTGGAGATGGTTAATCCTGATGGTACAAGCCATTCACCTGTGGGCCGTGCATTTGAAATCGAAGAACAAGGAGCGGAGGCTGGCTTATGTGCTTCAGTTCAAGATGTTGAGGAGCAAGTAGACAGTTCTAGTCCTGCATCAGAAAGTTGGGAGCAACCTGTTCCTTTGAAGGTGGTTATACTCAGACCATGGCATGATGTGCGAAATAGCATCCTAAGATCAAAGCATCCTTCAAACTACTCACAGTCAATGCAAGGATCAGATCTATATGTTGGAAATATGGATGTCTTGGATCCTTCTAAGGAGTGGTTGGACTCAAGGTTAAAACTTGACGAACAAGGAGGCGGAGCCTGGCGTGTTTGCTTCAGTTGAATATGTTGAGCAAACCCATCCCAATTTTACCGATAAAACTAGTCCCATATGGTCAAGTGAGGAGCAAGTAGATGGTTCTAGTCCTCGTCAGAAAGTTGGGAGCAACCTGATCTGTTGGAGGTGGTTAGACCATGGGATGATCGCCAAATAGTATCCTAAGATCGAAGCCTCCATCAAACTACTCACAGCCAATGCAAGGATCAGATCTAGATGTTGGGAATATGGATGTCTTGGATCCTTCCAAGGAGCGGATGGACTCAAGGTTAATGTCAAATACTGTAGAGCCATCAAGTTCTTCAAATGGTGGAGGCACTTCTGTTGAGAAAGACAATACTGAAAAAACAGAATGCTTGTCAGGCATGGACACTGTCACCCCTGAACTGGATAATGTCCAGGGATCAAATCCCTCAGCAGAGCCATCAAGTTCCTCAAATGGAGAAGGAGCCTCAGCTGTTGAAAAACACAGTGCTGAAATTACAGAATGCTTGTTAGGCATGGGAACTTTGACCCCGGCACTGCATAATGTCCAGGCATTAAATCCCTTGACACCAAAAGAATGCTTGGTTTCTAACGCAGACAACTCAGATGAAGCAAATGACAACTCAGATGAAGCAAATAGGTCAGATGAAGTTCATCGCAGTTGCAATGATTTTAACGGAAATTACTATCCCAAGCCAGTGCTGAAGGGAAGAATCTCCAAAATGATGTACCCAAGACTTTGGTTTCAATTGCCAAAAATGTGGCTTGTAGGCAAACATCACAAATGGAAGATGCCATTGCCTTCCAAGCATGTTAGTCCACGTAAGGCAACAAAAAGTAGCTTCAGAAAGCAATATAAAGGGCCAAACAGACATATTCCACGTCATACTAAACATCAGAAAACCAAGCTCGTTATGAAGGACAGAAATACAGATCCTGCACATATAAGAAGTTGTAGGCCATCAAAGAAAATTGATCGTACTTGCTTAAGTGCTTCCTTGTATTTATCTCCAAAAATTAAGGAAGTAAATGATGCCAATGTTGCAGAACCAAGATGTTCTAAATCTCTAAGAACTTTTGAGTATGTCATGGCCAAGAAAAGAAAACGGCCTGTTTTATCATATGATGAAGATGCCAAGGCAATGCAGATGGAAGTGAGGATGCGCAGGAGACATGTGAAAAGTTGTGTGATGAAGCAGCGAAGATCCGCAGAAAATTCTGAGGAAGCGATGTCTCCAGGAAATTCAAATAATCAACATGCCAATGATGATATGAAGGCAAGGAAGCCGAGAAGGGCCAACAAAGATAAAAAGGCACCTCTAGGGAATGCTAGTGTTCCATGCACACGGAATGATGCTGCACGGTTAGCATCAGATCAGCAAAGCTTTATTTGCACGCGACCCATTGATAAACCTTACTGGGCGTGATATGTTAGATGCCTTTAATCCCATTCTAAAGCATTTCAATATTTTCTCTCTCTGCAGTGCTAACGTTTCTCATGTTTTATGCTGATAGTGGAATCATGAAGATTGGCCAGGAGTATATTTCATTGGCTGCACACCTGTCAAATCAAGCATGCAAGGAGGTGCAGGAATTATCACTATCATTACCAGCACTAATGAAAGTAACAAAGCATTCGAAGTTGAAAGCCTGGCCAGGGAGGTGGAAGGCATCAAAACCATCTGCTGAATGCATTGGCTTGTATTTCTTCTCAGATAATATGAGGTGTGTGATCTACCGCCCTACCATATGGACAATTGCTTGTTTTGTATTTTCAGGTACATGGTTTAAAATGTACTTGTTACTTTTGTAGGGAACTGGATCAACTAGTGCATTATCTCACTGATCATAGCTTAGTACTAAAATATGTCGTTGGCTTTGCCAAGCTGCTGATCTTCCCTTCTGTTTTCCTACCAGAGCAATGTCAAAGTAAGTACGAAATTGTCGATTTTACAATGTAATTTACAAATATCATAGATACGATATGGCAGTGCTCCTGTTTTAAATTTGCAACCATGAACTTTGATGGCAATGTGCCTCGGTGCAATTTTGCATTATATTGCTTGTACTGTCCAAGTGCACTTAAAAAGTTATTTACTTTCTTGCTATTGAATTCTTGTAGCTTAGAGCTCTGACAGTTTTACTTTGTTCTATGGCTAATATTTTCAGTTTACTTATCAAACCTTGTCTTTTGTAGCGTTCCAAGGGAAACACTATCTGTGGGGAGTGTTCAAGCGCAGGATGGGTACTGGGAAAACAGGTGCCGCAGGGTAACAAAAAGTTTGTGCATCACATGGGTGCAAAGTGACACCCTGGTCCAAGAAATGCCTGTTTCGAAGGGTATCACAACGTCAAGGAGACAACAGTTGCCAAGCGCTGTCCATGGCTTTTGCACCGAGACCGACCCCTGTGATCATACGAAGCCCTGCCCAAATTCAGAAAGCTCCCGCACCCAAGCTGTTTGGCCTTGTCATCGCGCAAACGACGATGTTGGAACACTTCATTCGGGAGCTGGAAACTGTAGGTGCATTGGTGGTTTCTCTGAACTTGTGAAAGGTTTAGCTAAGGCCCGTCCTGTAAAGTTCACGGCCTGAAGCAATGTAGTAGCAAGTAGGATCAGAATTCAGAACTAACCAGCGGCAATCACGCTCCGGCTTCTGAAGCGTAGCTGTAACCTTTTGTTGATGTTCAGGACTGAGAGCTAGATTGTCTTTTAACTACTGTCACGTTTTAACACTGAAGACGTTCCTGTGCCTGCAACCCTAATCTAAGATGTATCACGCTGCATCAAGTGGTGCTGCTACTCTGCTATGAAAAGTCTAGCCAAAATTATGTTTCTGCGTGCTGTACTGCTGTTTCCGTTGTGTTTTTAAGCTGGACATGCATCTTATCTGCGCTATTAGATTTTCTGCTCCAGAGATACAGTTGCATAAAATGTAAATGTAAAGGTGAATGCTTTCTGCAAAGGTTCTAAACTCCAAAATTTTAAGATACTGATCTGAAGTATGAATTGCCGCTCATTCGCTTATTCAAGAAAGCCATATATGTAGTGACACTTCATACATAGTATTTATTAAATAAGACCTGGACGTGTCGCGTCCTAACGCAATCCAGTCAGTGCACTGCCTCCAGCTCCAGGGAGTAGTGACAGCCGGACAGGAGTTACTTTCTCGAGTTACACGTTCCTGATGTCTCTGAAGTCTGAACCGTATCTACTGCCAAAGATCTAAGACAAAATCCAGAAACCGGAAAGGTGCACGCCCATGTGCAAAATGGGTGCAGAGCCGGAAAGGACGAGATCCGGCATCCAAGAGGGGCAGGGAGCTCTGCTGTGATATGTCCGGTTGTTCTTGACTCTTGGTCAGAACAGGGGACATTCATTCATGTTGCTTTCTCGATTTACACGTGAGTTGATGGGAAACCACTGATCGGTTTGGTTAGTTCACTGGTGCGATTTGCGACGTCAATCTGATGATCCATAGGTCGACTAAGCGAAGGAAGAAATACCTGACGAGTGTGACTTCTTAAGCTGATTTCCATGGTATGTGTTAGCTGAGGTGATACGGATGGGCCACCGGTGACCGTATCTAGCTTTTCCACTTGCCAGGTATGGAAAAGCGAGAAATGGACAGATTTTGTCATAGTTTACTAAGCACGTGGTTCTGAGTACGTTGATCGATTCGTGTCATGCCTGCTGCTGCTAGAGAAAGTATATAGGCGAAATAAAAAAGATCGGTCAGGATGAGCCCTCTCTGATTTTCACTTTTATAATTTACTGTAGAAACAACACATTAATTTTTACTCTATGTAATCAACACATTGAAGAGCCTAGTGGTTAAAGAAAGCCTTAATTGCACCTCATCGACGGTGACTTCGTCAATATTGAGAATTTGCTGGATGCAAACTTAATTTCTTTCAAAAACAAACTAAACCAATTGATTGACTAACAAAATAATTCTAGATCTAGATCTAATCATGGATCCAAACAATCACTATCCAGAAAAAAACTAAATAATAGACCGTAAAAATCAAGACATGGCCACTAAACAAGGTTAGGATCTTATTTCCCAACTAAATTGAACCTAAGACCTTCAAAGGTTTTATCCAATTTCATTTATAGTTGCCTGAAGCATGCAAAGAGAGAGAAAATGAGAACCTAATTAATCAAGTAATCTAGTGCTAAACCTTTAAAAAGGTGTTAGAAATGGCATGTACTTACCTTCTATAGTCTCATCCTTCAAAGAAATCAAGAGCAAAACTGTCCTCATAAATTTGCAATTTTTGGAAAGTTGAAGCGCCGGCCCCTTGAAGGGCGGGCCTGGTGCAAGCGGTAGAGTCTTACCGCCTGTGAACGGAAGGTCCCGGGTTCGAGTCGCGGTCTCCTCATATTGCACAGGTAAGGGTAAGGCTTGCCACTAACACCCTTCCCCAGACCCCGCACAAAGCGAGAGCTCTCTGCATTAGGTACGCCCCTTTTTTGAAGCGCCGGCCCTTTGCTTTCTCCTGAGGCACGGGCCCGTGAAAGCACGGCCCGATAGGGATCGGGCTGGCACGGCACGCCGGGCCTCCCAAGCCGTGCCTCTTAGGGCCACGGGCCTGGCCTTCGGCCCAAGCACAGCACTATGGGCCATTTTTCGTGCCATGCCGGCCCGCGAAGCACGACCAGAATTACGGGCCATGCCAGCCCACGGCCCGTTACCCTTGTATTCACAGAATCAATGTCGAAAACTCGAAATGTCCAATACATTCACATATCACAGTTTCATACATTCACAGAATAAAAGTCCAAATGTCCGATACATTCAAAGTCCAACAGAGATATCAAACTCCAAACTCCAAAGCCAACAGATAACAGAAATAACCAAAATGAGTTTAGTGCAATGCTGCCTCATTAAAAACCTTTATAGGTAAAACTCACCCTTGTGAGAAACCTTAGAAAGAAAAAAAGAGTGCAGCCAACTCTTAATTAAGTCTTACAAACCATTGTTCAAATGATAGATAAGTCTTTCACAGTCACACTCACTCTTTCACAGTCACAGATCACACACACTTTCAAGAGTCAAGTCTCAACCTCACTAAGTACCAGGAGCACCACCAGCAGCTTCATCTTCATCAAGGTACAAGTTTTGGAATGAGTCTTTCAGCTCTTGGTTGTCAACAGCATGTTGTTCCTTTTTTTCTCCTAACTCCCAGTCCTTTATGTAGGTTAGCATCTACACAGTCTCTGGTGACAAGCGCCGCCGCCATTCCTCAATTATCCTACCTGTCAAACTGAAACAAGACTCAGAAGAGATAGTAGATACATGAACTGATATGATATCTCTAGCCATTATAGTCATGATTGGAAAGATTAGCTTGTGGTCACGTCACCATAGAAGTAGGTCAAAATCATCCGCATAAGAAGTGACATCGTCCTTTGTCTAAATAAGTTTGAGAACTCACAAACAATGAGGTATAGACGAAGATGAAGTGGTAGGGAGAGGGGAATGACCAACAACATCTGATCTACGGCCAAAGATTCTTCCCCATGCCTGCTTTTTCTTACCTGTATGATGTGATGGTTGTGCAAACCTTTGAGACCAAGCTACACCAAACTTGCTCTCATATTTGTTAAACAGTTTATACAATTCAGTTTTAACATCAGCATAGTATGAACTGTACTCAGAACCAGTGTATTCACCAAGTAATTGTAGCACATTAAAGAAACCTCTCATCTTAGCTCTAAAATCAAGAATGAATGCATATGAATATAACAAAGGTATGTCCTGCCAATATTTAAGGAATTTAACCTTCATAGGTATACAATAGCTCTCAGGTTTTGATCTTTTTCACATGCATACAAATGAGAAGCAATCTCTAGGATATGGTGCAGAACAAGTGGACTTGTAGGATAATAAACACCAGACAGAACAACAGTGGAGTCATAGAAGAGTTTCAAGAACTCCAATAACTTCTCAGCAAAATATCAATGATTTATAGCCAACAATTGTGAATCATAATGGGAATTAATGAACACAGAAAAGACATTCTTGTATGGAAGCAAGTGTTTAAGCATCAGGTAAGTAGAATTCCATCTAATATCCATATCCAAGCCAAACTTTCTAGGTCTAACACCCTTAGCATTACAATATTCCTTGAACAATGCAATTCTTTAATTAAAGGAATTTAAGAAGTTAATTGTAGTTCTAAAATCTTCTGTGTAAGGTTTCAACCTCTTTAATCCAGATTTTACAATGAGATTAATGATATGACAAGCACAACGTTGATGTACAAGACTGTACTTACGGTTACTAGGATCCAAAGGATCAGGTGAAGGATCAGGACCCAAGTAACCAGCAAATAGAGGTGTCAAAGTGTTCATAGCCTTAGCACTAGAAGAAGCATTGTCTAGAGTGACAGAGAAAATCTTGTCAATCAGACAATACTCCTCAACCACAGCAGCAATTCTTTTAGTAATGTTTTCACCAGAATATTTAATCTCAATCAGCCTAAGACCAATAATCATTTTCTGTAACTCCCAATCAGTATTCACATAGTGAGCAACAACACTAATATAGTCCTCCTTAGCATTATCAGACCAAATGTCTGAAGTCAAAGCAACAAAAGAAGCAGCCGGCAACATAAAATTCTTAAGCATATCACGACGTTCAGTAAACAGCTTACCAAGATCTCTAGTGGTGGTCTGTCTAGAAACCTTAGCAAACCTAGGGTTATGAGCAAGAACAATGTAATCCTCCTAGGCCTGTGTCTCACCTATACCTAATGGAAGGTCAAGCCTATTAATCAACCGACACAACTCAGATTAAGTAACAGCAGGATTGTAGTCCCAGTTATGCATAGATCCATCAGGATTGAAAGAAAGCCTAGACTGAACCCTCGCAGCATGATCAGCCTTTTTCCTACAAGATTTCTGGTGCCTAATCAAATGACCAGTGCCAGCAGAAGATCTAGCAGACAATTTACTCTTACATATTTTACAGATAGTAGCAGTTCGAATCTTTGAACCATTCGCAGTCTCATAGATCTCATCAAAATCAACCCAGACATCAGATTTATGCTTACCAAGAGATGAGATACCATCTGTGCTGTTGGAGCCGACCGGCGTCCCTGTCGCCGTCGCCGATGGCGTCGGCGCCGCCCCTCCACCACCATCGCCACTGTCTAGATCGATCGGAGCAGAGCCGCTACCGACATCAATACCCAACAATGCAGCAGCGTCATCATGGATGTCGTCGTCGTCCTCGGGGACCAGCCCTGCCGCGATCAGGTCATCGTTGCCGGTGAGTGGATAGACGACATCGTCGTCATCCGCCATGGCGACCTTGACCGTGGACAGCTGATCTCCAGCACCGTTCCTCAACTGTGCGCGTGGCCGCCGTGCCCGGTCTATGCCACAGGAAGAGGACGAGGCAAACAACAACCAACTGCGGGAGGAGAAAACAAAGAGTCAGAGAGATAGAGATCCAGATCCAGGGTCAGTCGCTTAGTCTTAGAGACACAAGAAGATAGATCTAGGGTTAGGGTTAGGGTTAGGGTTCATGGACTACCTGCGCAATCGGAGCCCGGTGGCGGAGATAACGAGGGCCACCCAGAG